CTAGTTCTCGTTCCTACGTCGGCCTGCTAGATACACGACCCCGACACTAAGGAGGAAGACCGCGACAGTTTGGTGGAGAAGCAGGGTATCTTCTCGCCGAGTTATCGTGGGAACGAAAGCGCAGAAAGAGCGTGACTCGAAGTTCCTTGGCAAAGGAACGCCAAGTCGAGGGAAAGGGTCGAGAGAGCGAGACATGGGCTCTCATGGGTGGTCCGGAGAGGGACTAGGTGTGGAAGCGGGTGAGGGGCTCAGTGGATGGGCTCCCCCGTTGGAGACGGAAACGCCACCTCCTGCAGCGATCCGCGACGATGAAGACGAAGAGTACACGGGAGGGTCCGTCGGGGGTGACGTGGGCGGAAGGACACCGATTGGGGCGGTTCGGACGATGGCTCGGAACGCGGAACGCCAAGGAGAATCGAACCCAGGGCCGAGAGTCGCGGAGCTCGAGATGCTCGAAAGGACGACGACGGCATGCTTGGGTCTGAACCCCTATCTGCAAGAGCGAGGAGGGTGGCCGAGTCGGTGTTGGACATGTCCCGGGGCCGAGAGATGTTCAACCAGATCCTCGCACGGCTGGCACGACAACCAGCGCCGAGCGAAGAGCTGACTCCGGCGAGGACGACGGCTGGTGAGACTGCGGAAGCAGCGATGTCGACCCCGAGAGCTCGGCAAGGAGACGCGTTCTCCTTCGATGCGTCGAGGCCGTCGTTACCTCTTGTGAGTGAGACGCGAGGCGAGGTACCGACAGTAACGCCAGCCAGTGCGGTGTTCGACACTAGAGGGACGACGAGGCACCCACCTCCGCGTGGGGTGGAACGGCATAGTGTTGGTGAAACGCCGTTCCCGGAGAGTGGCACGCCTTGAAGGCAAGGAATGACGTCAGTTCGGGCGGCGGAGACGCCGACAAGGAGGGCCAGAACGCCGACGACGGACTCTGCGTTGCAAGAAATGCTGGTCGACACGTTCAGTCGGGCACTCCAGAGACTGTCAGTCTCAGCTGGAACGCCAACAAGAACGCCACGATCTGAATGGGCGGGACCTGTGTCGCGCCCAGGGCCGGCGTCTATAGGGAACGCCTTAGTCAGTTAGACGCGATTGGTTAGCACGCCGATGTTCGGGTATCAGGGTCCGATGGCTCCCAAGGTGGCGCTACCTGCGCCAGCTTCGACGCCAGCGGGAATGGCGATGGCTGCGATCCCGTCATACGGTGGCGTGACCATTCAGGTAGCAAGAAAGATGGAGGGGCGGCGCGGCACGCCTGAATGATCTTTACCCGCCGTTTCAGCCTCCGATAACACCTACGGCTGGATGGAACTCTGGTGGAATGCTGCCAGCGTGGTCGGCAGCTCCCGCAACTCAGACGCCTACGAGCATGGGAGGCCTTGGAATTGGTAGGACCTTCAGTGGTCAAAGAGGAAGTTACCAGGCGCATTCGGTGTACGCTCAAGGGCCTGTGATGAATCGGACGCACGACCACGGTGGTAATTGGAACGCATCCGGGACGGAACGAGCCGATAGTGGGCATCCCAACTGAGTTGCGGAACGCCGTGAAAGTGATGGTTCCATTTTTTTTCGACACCGCTACGTGTGAAAGGGCGGCGGCGTTTTGGCGTTCCTTCGAGAGGTGCACGCATGGTATGGACGGCCAAATGAGATTAACGGCGTTCGAGCAGTGCCTAAAGGGCAAGATAGATCAAGAGTGGTGATACAACTTCAGGATCGATTGTTTTGAAGCTCTGAGGGTAACCGATTTATCTGCCAGACTCCTGCACAACTGTGGAGCCGACTCAAGCCGCCAAGAGGAAGCGTGGCGAGTCTGCCGAGGAGTGGGGCCACAGGATTTCGACAATGTGTGAAGCCTTGAACTACCACGAGCCTCGTATGAGGTACGAGTTTCTTCTTGGATGGCCTGAGGAATAAACAGGTGAAGGCGGTACTGAACGCGCGCATGGTCACGTCAATTCCCAAGGCATGTGCGCTACTGCTGTACAAGAACCTGCATCTCCCTGTCGAGGAGGAAGACGAATTCGCTGGCGAGGAAACGGGACAACCAAGGACGAATGGAGCGGCATCGACGGAGTCCCAAGTGCTCCAGGAGCTACGCCAGATGAATCAGCTGATGAGAACGCGACAGCTACGGCCAGGAACGCCAAGAGGGCAAGTCAGCGCTGTGGCCCCTCCGACTTCTCCGCGTGACGGCGTTCCAGTTGCGAACAGGAACGCCTCGGGTTCAGCACTTGGACCTCTACGTATTTGTCTCGGACCAGACACGCGTACCATCGAAGATGAAGTGGTCTGTCGTCGCTGTGGTCGTATTGGGTGCAGCCGCGAAACTTGCCCAAGAAGACAAGGCCGTTGCAACAGATGCAACGAGCTGGGTCACTACTCTGTGGAATGCAACAGGCCGAGGCCTCAACGAAATTATCGGAACGGAAAATGCCGAAGAATGGAGTGTTTCCTCTGCGGCGAAGGGGACCACACAGTGGCCAAGTGTCCTAGCCTCGAGCGCCTACGTGGTGCGGTGCGGAACGCGACAACAGGGACGCCAACCGGCGCGTCCCAGCTGGAGGAAGGGGGAAGAAGTGTCACTCCTTCCTCTTGCCTGACTGGCGACACAAAAGGAGCTGAGGGCTCACCGAGAACTACTGGTGAGGTCAAGGAGGCTCTAGTGAAACGTGGGAAAAATTATGAAGGGGCTCGTGGCGTTCCTGTCGCGAGCGTAAGGACGGAAACTGTGGATATTGAAACTGGACCGAATGAAAAGGGCAGTCCAACGGAACGGACTGGCTCAGAACGGGACGAGGAGATTTCGGGCTCTACGGAGATGCCCAAACGAGAAAGGGTAGGCACAGCGGAGGCAACGGAACGCCACAACGTGACCCCAAGCTGGGAAAAGGGGACAACGGAACGTCCCAGACGGGTACAGGACGCAGCAACGGAACACTCAGAGTCCGCGTCGAAGCCCCAGGGGGAACATAAAGAACGAGAGAAGGCGGTCGACAAGACCGTCAGCTCCGAGCAACGCAAGGGTGCGCTAGAATTGACGCCAGGAGACGCCGCGTGAACCAGGGCTAATCAGTTCTCGGCGATCATAGGAAAAGTGAGCTCAGGGTGGATAGTACCCGTCGCTCAGAATACCGAGGATGATGATGAGGGTACCAAGGGGATGGATTCTACAGAACAATACGATCGTTTGTTTACCGATACAGAACTGGATATGCTAGGACGCGATGATGGTCCGGGGTACAGAATGAGCCCGAGGAGTACGACAAGAAATTGGAGGAAAGATTGATCCCGGTGGACGAGGACAAGATTTTACAGCGTGCCAAGCGGAACGCCAGGGAGCAGGAGGAGCCGACGCTCGCGGATATGAGCGCCGTGCTTGGGATACCAGAGGATATGCTGGAACGCACGCGTGAGGTCTCATCCGGAGACATGGGAACGCCAGAGTATTGGCTGGATTGGTACGCCAATGCGTTGGAAACCTCGACAGAAGCGAAACACGCAAACCGAGATTTCCGGGAGGTTGAAGAGTCCGAAGGAACGTGGCTACCTGTGGTAAGCGCAGTGTCGAGCGACAAGGACGAGAGTTCGGGAACTGAGGTGCCTGCTGGAGATGAGGAAGGGTGCGAGTTCATGCGCAACGTGTGTGTGGGACTCGATGGAGCTGCTGCTTCGGTCTCTTGAAACCCCGAAAGAGGAGCTGAAACGATGCCGTTTTGATGCTGTTCCATAATTCGTAACCAAGTATACGAACTCCTAAAACGGGAACGGAACGAGGAGTAGAGTCCTCATCCATTCAGCTGTTTGTTATCCAAGCGGTGAGTAGGATCGGCGCAGGGAGAACAGATACACACTGTTAGGTCGGTACTACGTATGAGGTGTTAAATAACACGAATATATGTTTGCCATAATATGAATGCTATTGTTTTAGGCGCCTTACCCAAAACAGTTTACCGAAAAGCAGTCGAAATAGAACCAAATTCAACAGGACTTAAGGAGGACCAGACCCACCGGTGACCCAAAAAAGTCCACCAGCAGAGTGTATTACAGAAAACCTTCACAACATAAAGTAGGGCGGGCTATTCTCCGGATTTATATCCAGAGGTTTAGGATTCTGACCCAAAACTACATTAACTTCTTAAATTCTGAGCCCAAACTAATGTTGTCAGCTCAACAACTAAAATAGTTATTTGAGAACTTGATATGCCTGTTATAAGATCTAGGCTGTACAAAGCGGGTTTTCTTCGCTGAACCTGCATAACGCGTCATTTAAGCTTATATCAGATATGGTACCCATACTTTACTCAAGCAGACACGCGATGTATATCTGATATCCTTTGCACAAGTAATGCCACCATGGTTAATGCTGCTTGTGGCGGCCAAGTGTAACATCCCGGTAAATTACGACTAGCCGACGTCATTTTAATCCGTATGAGTGTTGCCCGAACAGACTTCAGCTTATGCCAGAGCGCAGATGATGCGGCTGCGGAGCAGTCCCATCAGATGCGTACCACCAGTGTCCCTCTTGTGCGACTCGCACAGTACAGTTGCTACGTACTGCTAGAACAACGCGTCCGAATATCAGATAGCGTATAGTGTAGCAACCATCCTGCACAAAGGCAATAGTTTTGTAAAATCCAGAACCAATCCGTATAAAACACGGCTTTGTACTCGTTTTGGCGAGTAGTGCTATTTTAAATTTTGCACTCGGTGGCCTCGGTAACCATCTGCATAAACTGATCTAGTCAATAAATATTGATTCTATTCTACGCTTGTCAAATTCCGCTGTTTTATTAGTCAAGAATTGCGTTGTACCTCCCTTTACTAATGTGTAGAGCTGAAACAGAGAGTAAAAAATGTAGTACCATTGGGAAACTTTCGCAATAATAGTCTTCCCAAGAGAAAATAAAATGAAATTCGGGGCAGCAGTCAACTGGATAAAGATGTGGTCTAATCTCTTACAACCGGCATTTTAAAGCCGGTTGTAACTGATAAATGAGACAATAATAATAATAATAATAATAATAAATCAGTACAAGAAGATACGTATATCCCTTATGAAAATAATCTCAGTTCAAATGTAGGAGAAACAAGAGCATTCTCAAATACCCGTGATACATCTTCCAAGCTCCCTAACAGCATCAGAACCGGTGTAATCATGTCCGCTTGGGATACTACACGCGTCACACGTCCGTATACTGGATCCCATTCGAAGTACGTAGACCCGTGCAATACAAGTCGTTCGTCCAACAGCAAATGCACAAGCGCAAAACTGCTGCTTCCAGTCCCGGTGTCAATCAAGTGTGGAAACGCGTGGCGTAGCGTCTCCTCGGTGATAGTGATGCTAGTTGTTGTAACTGCGACGACCGAATTGGCACTCATCTTTTTATTCTTACGAGTTCCAACTGGACATTTCTGAACCAGCTCGAAAGAAGTTTCCAACTCCTCAGAATTGCCTCTGCGCCGCATTCACCGTTATAAAACACATCAGAAGCTATGGTCGACCGAATAATTTTTTGCTGCACAGGAGGCGACGAATCTTGGAGGCCATACCGGAAAACTCGGAAATATTCCACGACAGCAGTCCACACGGTTTGTTTTGGAGGAAGAGAGGTCGTTATCTCGTGGTGTCTACGCTTCAGCTGGGCAGTGAGTTCTTTTAGCTGACAGATGTCTTGCTGAAGGGCTCTGAATCCGACGGCCTTCTTGCTTCTATACTTAATCTGCTTCACACGACGAAGAGCTCGAATGTACTCTTGATGTGCAACTCCTAACGCAGTTACGGAATTGCTGTGTGTCTCTCCAGTTCGTGCCAGCTTTACTTGATCAAGAACACGTTGGAAGTTCTTCTGGGCGACATGTAGCGCTGAAATTGCTGTGTCAAGCGGGTCCGTCTTTGTATCTTCGCGAGTGGGAGTAATGGTGAACACCTCAGCTCTTGCTTCATAGCCAGCGTAAGAGTGTGTTCCTAACGGTGGTGATTTGTCTTGGAGCTGCTGAAGCTTGAACCTATCGAGGTTAACAGTGTTTATAACAGCGCCGGCACGGCACACGTTGTAGTTCGATTGGCAGGAGTCCATTGATGGATACCACCGGCTTGTAGGTTACAATTGAGCTGGTAGTGACGGAATCTCGAAATGCCAAGTGAAAACAGAAAAAATCAACATTGGGGCGGGTGGTAATCTGTACTTGCCGAACGATGATGATGTTCGCCATTGGGCAATAAACAAAACAGACTACTTCTATCTCCAAATATTCTTTTGAATCCACTGGTGTCCACTAGAACGTGGAAATATATTATGTCTATTAAAACCGATCCCCTGTCAATTCACATTTATGTACCAAAAGTTCTATCAAAGTGTGTTGCAACGAAGGTATATCCTCCACTCGTTTCCTCTCCTCCATTGTTCGTGTTTATTGCTTGCCCTTTATGTTTCCTCTCATACTATCACACCACTACAACTAAAACCACGTCGCCACCAGCAATGGACAAGCGGCATGCAACCCACCTTGAATTTATCCTCTTTCTTCTTGAAACATGAATATAGTCGCATAATGATATAGAGGCGGGAGAGTATGACCAGCTCTGGTGGTCAACAACCTACCGAGCGAAATCACTGCCACTCCGTAAACCACGATTGATTATCACAGTCTTTTCTTCCTGGAGCTACATGTACGACTCAACGACAGCAACCTCTGACAGACTGACACTCACTTCTTTATTCAAGTTGACATCACAACCCGGACTCTCAGTAAGCCCACGAGACGATGACCAAGTCGTGGCACGACAAGGAAGGCACCTCCATTGATCCAGAGCTGTCACAAGACGTCGTCTCTCCTCTGATAGCAATGGAGAGGAATCGACAACCTAAGCATTCCTATCCACAAAAGGACTATTCACCCAAAGACCTGGACTCTCGTGACCGTCAACTCTTAATAGAAGAAACAATTGAGGAGTCAAAGCTAACCTTGCAACGCGAGCGCCGTCGCAACAGCCAGCGGCGGTACAGACAGAAGCAACAACATTTAATCACAACGCAACGAGATTGAGCAGCTTCGACAACGTCGCTGTGACGTTGCTGCTTCCAATTCGTCCAAGGGAGACGTCTGGAGCTTTGCTCTCAAGTATTTTCGACTCTTTCGCTTCGGTCTACACGACGCTGTGCTACGGACGCCATCTAGTGCTACACAAACCTCACAATACAATGATCAACTCAACTCTGTTCGAGAAACCATGCTACCAAACGTGATATTCAATACTGAGCAAGGCGTCGATTCGCTACTGAAGCATTGGATGTGCGTGTCACTCCGGTTCGAAGATGTCGAGGTGGAGATCGACGGGATCTGGAAGGGGCCTGCAGATTCAATATTTGCCACCTCTACGACATGCGTCACTATCCATGGCCGAACTTTACGCAGTGTATTCCCTCACTTGTGTATTGGCAGTGTAAACTCACCTCTGGTGAAGAAACTTTTGGGTAAACGGATTCGTATGAAAGGATGGACGCGTTTTCAGTGGGATCCCAGCTGTGGACGAATTGTTAGCGTGACCACCACGACAAATATGCTAACACCGATGCTCGAGCTAGTAGGGAGTCTAGACAACGTATCCACGGTGTTTGAGCACGCCCTGATTTCTCCAAACTTTCAGTGGAGGTCACATGGCAATTCATAATGGACGACGACGTAGTTTTACTTATAGGTTCAATTACTGTAAGGAAATCAATGTTTTTTTTTGTTATTTATTTGCTTTCTCAAGCAACTCTTCGAATCTACCGTCGCTAATGGGAGCTGAGAGGCCGTTAAAGTCTGTCCATTGGAGAGCCGAACGTGCAGCGTCCGTCAGTTGGTTCCACATAATGAGGTCCTGGGTCTCACCGATCCTATTTGTTACGTCGAGCATGTACCCATACTCCAACGTGTTGGTACAGTCAAGTTTGACGCTAGTTCCGTTTAGGGTGTCTGCAAGAGAGGGTAAGTATTTCTGGTACTTGCCTTGATGCCAGGTTGTTACGGCTAGAATCGTCGGGCTCTCGAGGACGAAGCTATCGAGCCAGACGATTGTTTCGAGCCACAAATGACGGGACTCAATACCCCAGCCGTTGCTGATCTTCGGTAAGTACCAAGCGTACATGATCGCCCACTTGTCAGTGAACCGTTTAGCTCGGCCGTATACCTGGGATCCAACACTGGGTCCATTACAGCTCTTACTGTCAGGACCGGAAGATGCTAAACAGTCTCCTGTATTTCCGTCTGTATCCACCACAGGATACGGATAACAGCCTCCATTTGTGTGGACTTGAGGCTTGAACTCGACAGCGCGCTTCTCTGTTATTGTGACCGGTACAGGTTGGGCGAAGGGGACGATGTCGTCGTACCTGACAACTTTGGCATGACCTAGTGACAAGATACTCAACACGGAGAGGCCAAACGCCAACATATTCTGGTACTATCGCTGGATCCAGCTTTATAATTCTTTGGTAGAATAAAACTATACTCGGATTGTGAGTTGTCGTAATACACAAGATGTTGACCAATGTGGTCAACTCATTGAGCTTCTCCTCGTTTACTCACCTAGTTGGCTTACCATAGCTACTCAAGATCTGGAATGCTCGATAGCCGTAGTAATAACACATGAGGCATTGAAGCAAAACAAAATGCCCCTACTTTCGTGCTTTGCTAATGACTAAAATTTACTGATATAAGGTTAGTACAGCGATTGCCTCTGCTATGACGAACGACATGTACCTACTCTCATAGATTATATCTCCGCTGGAAATCAAGCGTGATGAGAGCCTCGTCAAATACGTAGGCTACATTCTCTAGACTCCCCACTAAGTGGAGAATCGGTGTCAGCATATCTGACTGAACCACCACGCTTACCAATCGGCAGTTGGCTTGATCCCACTCGAAATGTGTCGATCCGTTCATGATAATTCGTTGTCCAACAAGCCTTTCTCCAAGTGTCCGCTGAATTCCTCCATTATCCTCTGAAAACAAGTGTGGAAATACGCCACACAATGTGCGTTCAGTGATCGTAACACTTGTCTTCGTCGTTGCTACAAGAGAGTTTGTGCCTCGGTTTAGGAGACCTCGAAGCTCCACTTCGAAACCACCAAACCATTGAGAGCAGCACAAACTTCGGAGTGCTTCTAAACGACCATATCCGGAGTTGTAAACCAAATTGTTGTGCATATTTTCTCGAAGAAACGTCTCTTGTGCTGCGAGTTGCGGGCCATTGAGAAGGCCGTGCCGGAAGACGCGAAAATAATCCACTGCTATGTTCCAGAAATTGTTTTTCGCCGGGATAATTGCACCAACGCCACGACTGAGAGCTGTAATCTGATACCGAAGGTGGCGGATTTCCCCATTAAGACGGTTCAGGTGCTGTTGGTGTCGCTGTTGGACGCCTCGATATATTGTATTCTCACCATTAAGCCGATGCGCAGCCTCAATCGTGTAACGGGTCTGGGTTGGAACGTGCTCGCTTGAATAAAGCTGTGCACTTCCAGCAATTTCGTCGCTAAGTTGCTGTGTAGAAGACAAATGGAGAACGAATTCGTTCATCACAAAAGAATGTATAGGTCGTAACCTCCGGTTTTCTTGGTCAGAAAAGGAGAAATGACTGACCTGAGTATGCGTTTTATTGCTTACTTCACGGTTGTGCCACTAGAATCACGTACAATGCAGTACTGGAATACTATGACGTTCTGCTCGTTCCAATGTAGTTTTGGGAAGTGAATCTATTAGTAATCGTTGTTCGCCCATTCTTAGTTCTGCTTTCCTCATAGAGCGCGGCGTGCGGCATTGCCCACAAGCTCCGCCACGCCAATCATTGGTGCTTGATGACGAAATCTGCAGTTTACGCGGTGCTTGATTTCGAACGAGCAGTATGACGGGTCTCTCGGGTGTCGGTAGGCGCTGGCGGTCGGCGCGGTGTCGTCTGTGCTGTTGTGCTCCAGCGGGGCTCACTGTAGTGGCGCCAAATTTTCACTACAGTAATATTGTAATAGTAAAATACTACTTGTTGCGTGATTTTTTCCCACCATGCGCTCGTTCGGGCAAATGATTGTTCCACACCGGGTACTGTAGGGTTGCGGTGACAACTGCAACATGAATGGTGCGAGGTTGAAGACGAAAGCGTATTTCCCGATGTCACAATAAGCTATAGATAGCATAGGTAGAAGCTCGAGGAGCTCGCTAACTTCTAGGCCACTTCCGAATTCTTCTCGCAGCTAACCGGCCACGCCTCGCCCAGATGTGGCGAAATGCACTTCAGCATTTGCCCCTACGCGACTTCGTTGGAAATTGGTGATAGTGGAACGTATACTTAAACGTGATATCGGGCTCATGCTCTTCTCGCAAGACGTAATCACTTCAAATATTAACTTAGAGCGTGTAGTGGCTCACAGACCAGGCCTAGCTCATTCACCAGGCAATGTCGACTGATAGGCTATAATAATAATAATAATAATAATAATAATAATAATAATAAT